AATTAAATAAAATTAAAAAGTACAGGAATTGAATAGGTGTTTTAACTATTTGAAAATTTCATCAGTAATTTAAATTTTAATTGAAGGAATTTGGATTGTCAGGCCACTGAACAAGTGGGCTATGGATTTATCTTTCCCCATTCATCAAGAAATGGGCCTTAGCTTTAACTAAACATCTTCCTAGAAATATTTGCGCGACTCTGGTCGGGTCTGGACAGGAGTGGTTCGTATAGAGAAAAGCAAGAAGTCAAAAAGTGATTCAAAGGCAGAATCAAGTCTCTGCTTTCAGCATATCATGTAAGAATTTAATGTGTGGTTTCTCGTATAACTCTGAGCATTTTTCCAACTTACTTTCCTAGTTTCCAAGCATCCCCATCCTCAACCAAACCCCCGAGCTGATCTCATGCAGTAGCAGCCCTAGGAAACATGAGAGACAAAAGGTTTTGCAACAGTAGAAAATTAAGCCTCAAGAACACATTTGTCTACACTAGTTTGTCTATAGCTTAATTTGCCTATGTCACTCCCCGGGGCGGCCTGCATCATATATATATATATATATATATATATATATATATATATATATGCTTCTATTTCCTGTGATGAAAATGGTCCCCCCGGCCCGGTATGCATTTACATATTGCAGAGAAACCAAAAAGCCAAGTCTCACTGCGTTAATTTTGTTGATAATATACAAAAGCTTTTTACTTTGTCCACTCCATCATTGAAAGAAAAACAGATAATTAGTTCTTCTTCTTCTTATGTTAAGACATAGATGTGCAATTCTTTTACTTGTTTTGCATGTCACTTATATCAAGAATAATGTCAACAAAAGACTATTGATATCAAAATCTCTTTCTGTAGACAAATGAATTTACTGATTGAATCTATCTTATTACTTAAAAACTTTGAACAAAAGGAAGAAACAACAAAGGCTGTCGGTTACATGGATTCTTATGGGATTTTGATGTGATCTTAAATACAAGTAATTTCCATCTATTTAATACATCATATATAT